ACAAAAAAGTTCAATCCTGAAAATACCTGACGAATCTCTGCTTCCTACTTTACCATTATTGTTTTCGACCCCACTTGGGAAAGATGCACTTGACGTGGCCACTATTTCATCAACATCCCTGGATCTTTTATCGGCTCCATTTCCAATTTCTTGATCTTTTGGGGGTTTTTCAGCACAGGTGGCAACATCTTTATTAGAAGAATCACCATCCTTACAATTTTCTTTCCCTGAAGAATCCCTATTCAAAATACCAGTCCCACCATGTTTGGAGACCCCAGATGAAGCATGCTCATCTCCATTGGTAGCAAGTTTTGGTTGCCTGGAAACCAAACTAATCGCGTCAGAACTCACATTAGCCTCCCCGTTGGTAAATGCACTGTGATGCTTGGTTTCTACAACATCTTCAACAGAATCTGACCCCTTGGCCCTGGGTGCAACACCAAGCATCAGCTCCAAAAAATTAGCCCAGAGCCTCAGAACTTTACCAATCTGCTCTTTTGTAGAACATATCTCCTCACAAGAAAACTGGACTAGTTTGAACAGGTCTTCATGAATAGTTCTGTCGAGATATTCATACTCGAGGTGAGGAATTATCGGTTGTCTGTAACCAGCAGAAATAGACAGAACAACATCGTCTTCTTTCTGAGACTTCTCTTTTAAGTCCTTGATTTCAGACACCAGCGCTGGTATTTAACCAACAAAAAAAAAAAAAGAATTATGAGAACAAATAAGTAAATGCAAGATAGACCCATAACAGATGATTATAAGCAATTAAAGGTAAGGACAAGTCCGCTGATGGACTGAGCACGTTCCAAGACTTTACTTACCTTTTGCACTCAAATTCTTAGAATCTTGCTGCTTAAAATAGAAGCTGCGGTGATCAAGTGATTTGTAATGGTTTTTCGCATACACATCCGCCCAGACCACATTAAAACCTTCACGACATTTTGTCCATTCATCTTGTTTCTGCTTCAATCGAGTTAGAATTACAGGAAGTGCAGCAGCTGGATTCTTACGTATTAAGTCTGTCACGTCAAGACCATGGTCTCCATAAAGTCTCTCTATGCACCTTAAATTTAGTGCTGTATTAAGCCAATAAGAAAAAGGCAAGTGTAAGTCTAAAAGATGATGGCTTAAAGATATGGCAAGGGAGGTGGAACAGAGAGAACTACAATCACTAATATAGGTCGCTGGTAAACAAATGCCCACAGACCTGTGAAATGGTCTTCAATCCGGAAGGAGCCCTCAAAACTTATTTTCTTCTCAATGATAATATTCAACAATTCTTCTGCACTTTTGGCAGCAGATCCCACCGATTCCAACAGCATGTCCAACTCAAATCTGTAACAAGAAGCAAGTAAACAATCTTAACATACAAATTACTTAAAGACTACAAAAGCTATCATATGCGTAATACTTCATGTAAACGTACCTATCATCTTCACATCTAAACAAGCTTTCTTCATATTGGTTTCTGCGCATGTGCTTAAAAGAGTAGTCTTCACTTCCTGAAGTGACAGAAACCCAGTGATCATTTAAAACAGCAGCTCCTGCTCCTGATTTCTGTCTGTGGCGCACAGACGGGATTGGATACTGCAAATAAGATATAATATAAGTACAGTTAAATGTCACTGGATGCAATATAGAACTCTGAAAATCTTATTACATCTGGAGGGAGAAGCCGGTAGCTAGGAGTGCAACTCTCGCAATTAGATAGATCAAGCTCTTGAATAGATTTCCCCATGTACTTGTCCTTGGATCGCTCTTTTTCCTTAGCAGCCTCAAGGTCACGTTTGTGTTCTCTTTCTTTTTCCTCCCCCTTCATTGATCTAGATAAATTTTCTTCACTACTAAGTGATTCTGCAGGAAGTGTACCAAGCAGTGTTATTTATATTCCTATAACGTAGAAAACAAAGAGAAAAGTATACTCATAGACAAGAAGCTAGGAGACTGCTGCCTACTTTTGCTCATAACGCCAGCGAGGTGCTGGAAACCATCTGCACAAAAAGGATGATGATCAGAAACAGCTAGATAACTTAATTAGTAAAACGACAGTATGAAATCTCTAATACCAATACTCTCACAACGTTCGAAGAACTGATTGAACTCATCCATGAGATCAGGGAATTTTCCAAGCACATCGGAAACCTGAATGAAAGAAAGTGGCGTTAAGACAAAAATCTACCCCTATACGTATCAACACACACGATATTTGGAGACCTACCAAATTCTGCAGATCTTTCCTTTGGATAATTCCATTGCTAAACATATTGAGACACTTCAAGAATGCTTGATAATCATCTTGGCTGCATAATCTCTCCTTAACTTTCTCACAAAACATAAATGCTTGGTTGTACATACCTAACGCAATGAAAGTACGTACAAAAAATATGATATTGTGAGTATAAGAAAACAGAAAAGAGTGGTTGCACTTGAACATACTTGTTGACTGGAAAATTAGAAAACTGAAATTGTGGAGCCTTAAAATCAGAAAAGTTGTTAGTTCTCCATATATAACTAAAAGTCGCTTACTTTTTAGATTGTTTTTCTCAGAATGTGAAGCAGGACCAGAGTAAGCTTCAAACCCCTCCATTCTTCTCGATGACTTCCTTTTCTCTGAAAAATGTTGCAAGTTATCTTGCTCTGCTTCTCCATCTTCCAAATCACGGCTTCTCCTTTCTCTATTATCCTTATCAACACGTTTCCTCTGATCTCTGTGCATCTTAACCATTGATTTATCATCATTAAGGTCAGAACGGTCAACACTATGATCACGGTCACCCCGAGAAGCAACAGTCCTTTCTCGTCGGCGATCCTGATGATGAAAAACACATCAGCAAAAAAAAGAGAGACCTGAAAACAATTTCAGAACCAGGAAGAAATATAACCAATACCATACCTTCTCCATAAACATTCGACGCACAAGAGGAGGGCCTGATCCTCGGTCATCATACCGTTGGGCTTGACTCCGAAGTAACTGGGCTTCTGTATGAGGCGCCAACGAGTCCGGTAAAAACCTAGTGAACTCTTCAAGCAAATCCGAGTGGTCCTCAAAAAGAGTAGATACCTAACAAACAGATATTAGAGCTAAAAAATATCGAGAAATTTCGATGTGACAGTATAGGAGAGATATAATCACTTCAGTGTGACATTACCTCATTGTAAACCTCAGTGATGTCCTTGTTATCCTTCCGATACATATTTAAGATTTCCAGGAAAGACTTATAAACAAGTTCATCGTGCTGGAACCGTGTCTGCAGTGATTAAAAAGAAACTGATACAATGAGAAACTAGGTGTAGAGGGCACTTCAAAGATAAGGATACACGTAAGAGAAGAGAACTGCTTGACCTTAATTTTATTAACAAAGCTTATGGCTTCTTCAAATTCAACAGTTTTCTTTGGTGGAGCTTCTTCTTCATCAAGCGTTATTTCAAACCCCTTAGGCAGAAAGGTGTTAAACCCGAAAATCAAATTGTTATGCCCCTTAAACAGCTGCTTTACTCGTGCAATCACACCAGTTGTATCGGTCCTGTAAATGCAAGATGAAGAATGTTTTCAGATGCCTTGAGGCTAAAAGAAATCAATCTGATAGGAAAGAAAGATCTTACCTTTGTGCTTTAAAGTCTTTCATAACCTCAAGGAACATATCATATTTATCCCTTTGATCTTGAAACATCTCCTTTACTTCCTTTAAGTAGGTCAAAGCATCATCGGTAGTCAATTTTTGAGTGTTAATTCCCCCATCACCAATGCTCCCACCTCCGGTACCACCGTTTCCAGGGATTGGAGATTGCCCATATCTGCGGCAAACAAGCTCTAATCACTTAGTAAATTGCAAGCAAACAATAAGTGGACAACCATCTAACCCAGAAATCAATAGAGACATTAAGTTGTTCCAACACATTCACTTGCAAAGACAGTCTTGAACCAAAACTAGACTCCCCTGATCTATATGTCAGAAAATTGCATGGGCCTAAAAATTAAATTTATTTTACCAAAATAACACGAAGATCCAACCTATGATCACACACAAAATCTAGAAATTTCACAAATTAGTAAAATTGACCAGTTCACCAACTTACCTAGAAATTCAAATACTTTTTAAAGGGAATCAAACATCACAAACCCACGAAAAAAAAAAAAAGCAGAATAATGTCTGATAGCTAGAGATTTGAATTTCGAAAAGGGAACTCACGATTCGCCACGAGAAGACCCCAAAGGCCGTTTAAATTGAGACCCAGTTGCGTAAATATCATCCCTAATTCGCTTCATTGCTGCTCAAGTAAAACACAAAAGATCATCGATTAGGGAATTAAATTGAAAATCTGAAGGTAAACCCAAAATCCCAAATTAGAAACTCCATTACTGAGAATTAAAAAAAAAAAAGGAAGAAAACTCAGATGAAGTTAATGAAACCTACTTTCTCGCGGTCCAGATTTCCCAGAGATATGACTCCGGGAAGAGATTAATCAGATCTCTCAAGTAAGACCGGAATCGAGAAGAAAAAACTTCCGATCAAATTCCGGCGAAACTTCAAATTCCCGAATTGTGCAAAACCCGAAGAACAATTCCGATGACAACAGAGTGAAATTCAGAAAAACAAACGAGAGGTAAAGATTTTGAAGAGGAGTTGCTACGACTGAGAACGAGAAAGAGAGAGAATTTTTCGAATAATGAAGAAGAAGAAGAAACAACGACGGAATTTGCCTTTGAGGTCTCTCCCGGCACCTTCTTTAGTTGTTTCAGCGGCACCAAATTTCCTTTTTTCTATTTTTGGGCCATTAAATTTATAATGGGCTTATTAAAAGGCCGATATTAGGCCCCTTAAATGACTTCGTTAAGGTAATTAGGGTTTTTCTTCTTCATTTTCGCCGACAAAGATATATAAAGAGGAAACTGATAACATTACACAGAGACATCGATCTAAGCTTTGTTACATCTTCTTTCTTCTTCTGCGGTTTTTAGTATTTTTTTTGTTCGGATTTTTGTTCAGTATTAAGATCAGGTGATGAGCAAATACTGCAACAATATGATGGAGATAATCTGTATGATTCTTAGTATTTAAGTCTCTGATGATCTTTTTTTTTTCTTTTTTTTCTGAGCTTAAAGATTTATAGAAATAAGAGATGTGATGAGTAACAAATTGGTCCGTGTTTCAGATTAACCGTGACTGAGAATTTATAACCAAACTCTGATCTCAATTGTTTTACTGTTTGAATCTTCAAATTTTGCTTCTTTTTTGAAAAACAATGATAAAGTTTTGGTCTTTGGCTCTGTGATTACTTTGCCTAATTGGCAGTATACGCTATTCTGAGAAACAGAGTATGAAGATAAATAATTTTTTACTTAATGAGAGCCAATCATTTATTTCCTTTACTTGTTTTGAAACTTCTGCTATGATGATCTTTTGAATAAAATTCACATGTCAGACTTCAGAGATTTTAAAATCTATGAGAATAAACATTCATAATTCTGAGCAGAAGTAACAATCTATCTCTCCATAACTTAAAAGGACCAATTGTAACTTGTAGTAGAGCTTAGAAGATAGAAAAAGTCGAACAATAGGATCAAATGTTTATTCAAAGCACACGTACTCGATAAATTGTCACAACCATTTGTGTAAAACCATGTAACTTTAATGAGAACCAATTTGATATTTCAGTCTGATTCATAATGCAAGAGTTTCTTGTGGTGAAGGAGCTTAGCTTCTTGTTCCTCAATCCTCATTATCAAGAGTTATTTCATACCCCTTAGGCAAAAAGGTGTTAAACTCGAGAATCAAATTGTTATGACCCTTAAACAGCTCCTTCACTCGTGCAATCAAACCAGAAGTATGGATCCTGTAAATGCAAGATGAAAAAGTTTGTTTCCAAAGTTGCCTTCGGACTTAAAAAATACTTGAATTTGATAGAAGAAAATAAACATGTTTTACCTATGCGCTTTAAAGTCTCTCATAATGTCAAGAAATATATCGTATATGCCCCTTTGATCTTTAAACGTCCTCTTTACTTCCATTAAGTAGGTCAAAGCATCATCTGTTCTCAATCTCATAGTCTTAATTCTCCTGTCCCCAATGCTCCCTCCTTCGGTGCCACTGTTTTCAGGTCTTGGAGGTTGTCCATGTCTGCGCCAAACAAGCTGTATTAATTTAAGTAAATTTCACTCAAACAATAAACGTCCATAGACATTAAGTCGTTCCTACACATTCACTTGCAAAGATAGTCTTGATTCTTGAACAAAAACTAGACTTCCTGATCTAAATGTCATATTAATTCATGGTCACAAATAAAATCGAGCCGCATTACAAGATTAGTAAACTAACCAAATCGTTTGCCAAGAACCGACTAGTTTAACAGCAGAAATACGAAACTCTTTGTGTGCTCATCGCTAAGATTTCGAATATTGAAAAGAGAACTTACGATTCGTTTGGAGAAGAGCCCAATGGAGGTTTATCTTGTGACCCAGAACCGTCATCTCCAATCCGCTTCATTGCTGATAAAGAATTATGGGGAAAAAAGTTACTGCAAGCCGAAGAGAAACCAAGAATCAAGATGAAGTCAAAGAGACTCACTTTCAAAGAGATTACAGTGGGAGCAAAATCGAGAAGAAACACTTCGATCAGCGACGATTTCAGGCGCATCCTAGAAGAAGTGTTGCGATGACAAATAGAGCAAAACGGAATTAAAAAAGAGGAATGAGAGACATTTTTTCAGATGAAGAAGAACGCGCCAAATAAACCGTCTGTTTGTAACTTATTTGGGCCTATAGTCCATTATGTGCCGAATATAGGCCCATTTATGTTATAAAAAAAAATACAACTGGCCCATTTAAGTATTCATTAGGATCAATTCTTTTCTTTACTTTTTTTTTTTTTTTTTGTAACAACTACATTATGTATTAACTTTAGAACAAATGTGATCATAGTTTAAAGCTATATAAAGAGGGCTTCTTTCATCTCTGAAGTTATGTAGAATATGATCATTGAAGCTTTTTTATTATTTTTGTTTTGTATCGTTATTGTATCAGTTAATGAGCAAACGCTGACATTGATAAGATGGAGAAAATTTGTGATTTTTAGTATTTAACACTAAATGATGATCTCAATATAGTTCTTTTTTCAATTTTTGATTTTGGCTTCTTGTTATAAAACAATGCTAAAATTAATTTTGGTCTTTGGCTCTGTGAGTATAAGTAGTTCACCTAAATAATAATAATCCATACATGTGAGTAGAAGTAGTAATATATCTAAGGAAGATAAAATCATGACAACAAATTTAAGTGTACGTAAAGAAAATATAAAAGGTCGTATTTTATTGTAGTGAAACGTTTCCTCATGCATGGATTACAAAGAAACATACTTGATAGTATACCATCAAAAACTGAATAGAGAGTATAGTTTAGAGATTTTGATAGTATCATTTGTGTGATAACCATGACAAGAAATTTCAATAGTCTCTTGCGGTGGAGCTAGTAGAGGCTTCTACGTCACCATCAAGAATTATCTTATCTCCAAGTGGCAAAAAGGTGTTAAATCCGATAATTAAATTTTTGTGCTCCTTAAATAACTTCTTCAATCGATCATACAAAGTAGATTGATCAATCCTGTAAATGCAAGAAATTCTATAAGCAAAACTCATCAAAACCTTAAGGCTAAACCAAAAAAAAAAACATCAAGATCTTACCTTTTAGCCTTAAAATTAAACATAAGCATACGGAACATATCATAATTTTCCCTTTGATCACGAAACGTATCTTTCACTTGCCAAATGTATGCCAGAGCATCACTAGTGGTCTTCCCTCCATGCCTGCACCAAAACCAAAAGACCAAAGACAGACATATAACATGTTCCTACACATTCATATAATAAAGAAAACTATAACACTTAGCCCACAAATCAAAACAAGATCTACGAGATCAGGCACATGTTCTGAAAGTTGAAAAATCATCTTTACACAAGCAACAAGTAGATAAAATTATTCATCATTATGCGTCAAAAACAACCCACGATCACCAACACACTTCAAGATTAGGAAACTAACCTTAGAGACATTTGAACGTCTATTTCATCAGGAGTCGGCTCCATTTCTGTCGGACTAATCAAAACATCAACAATTAGAGAGATTATGCACGGAAAGATATATAACAATTAACCTTTTATCAAAAAAAAAAAAAAAGATATGAAACAAATCAATCAGATCTTTGAAGTGAGAGCAGAATCGAGAAGAAGAAACAATTCAATCACCAAAGGTTATGCTTACATTATGAAATATCTAGGCATTTCCGATGAAGCGTTGCGACTTGTGATGAGAATAGCGCAAAATCAGGAATGACGAACGAGATATAAATACAGGCGCCAAATGGTGCCATCTCTTCGTAACTTATTTGGGCTTATAATATAAAATGGGCTTTTATATGCCGAGGTTAGGCCTTATTTAAGTATTTATCTGCTTTTCTTCTTTGTTTTAATTTTACGTTTTTTTTTGGGTTACAGTATTAGTTGATGAGCAAAATACTGCCACAATTGATCCGTGTTTCAGATTAACCGTGACTGAGAATTTTAGACCAAACACTAATCTCAAATGTTTATTTTTACAACTGGCTCAATTAAGTTGCATTCATTAGGCTCTTTTTCCTTACTTTTTTTTTTGTAACATCTACTTAATTTATATCTTTAGGAACAAATGTGATCATAGTGTAAAGCTATATAAAGAGACCTTCTTCCATCTCTGAAATTATGTGATATACTCTCTTTTTTTTTACAAATAAAAAATAAACATTAAAAATAGGAATAAAATTCTTTTTTTAATTATTGTATTGGATTGTTATAGTATTAGTTGCTGAGAAAATACTGCAACAATAAGATGGAGAAAATCTTAGTGTTTCTAGTATTCGTATTGTAACATCATACTATGATCTCAATACAGTTCTTTTTTCAATCTTTGATCTTGGCTTCTCGTTATTACTTATAAAACAATGCTAACATTTTGGTCTTTGTTGGCTCAATGACAAAAAGAATTTCCTGCTTACTGAATGTTAATCATATATTTCTTTTGAAACTTTGCAATGACGTTATTTTGAATAATATAAAATTTATAAGTCAGATTTCAGAATTTTTTTCAGTAAGAATAACAAAGTAAATATTAATGTTTTTCCTATTATTGGTAAAGAAATTAAATTCATGACAAATATTGAAAGTGGACGTAAAGAAGATAGAAAAAGGTCAAACTTTATTGTATAGTGAAATGTTTCCACATGCATGGCAAAGCAAACGTACTCGAACAACCATCAAGAACTGAACAGAGAGACTAATTTAGAGATTTTGATCGTATCACTTAGAGTAATAAAACTATGACAAGAAATTTCAATAGTTTCTTGCGGTGGAGATAAAAGAGTCTTCTACGTCATCATCAAGAGTTATCTTGTATCCAGGTGGCAAAAAGGTGTTAAATCCGATAATTAATTCGTTGTGCCCCTTAAACAACTCCTTCAATCGAGCAAACGCAGTATAATGACGAATCCTGTATATGCAAGAAATTCTTTAAGCATGCTCATCAAAACCTTATGGGAACCAAAAAAAGAACAATCAGGATCTTACCTTCGTGCCCTCAAATCTGACATAACCCTAATGAACATATCATATTTTTCCCTTTGGTCATGAAACGTATCTTTCACTTCCTTAAAGTATGCTCTACATTCAGCCATAACATCCCTTTCTTCTCCATGCCTGCACCAAACCCAAAAGACCAATAGAGACAGACATGAACATGTTCCTACACAGTCACGTAATAAAGAAAAGACACTATTTGCACAAGCCAAAATAAGAACTCAGAGAGTCGCATGTTTTGAAAGTTTAAAATACTCTTTACACAAGCAAGTAGATCAAAATTCTTCATTATACGTCAAAAACATCCCACGATCACACCAGCACACTTAAAAATTAGGAAACTAACCTTCGAGGCCTTGGAACGTCTACTTCATCAGGAGTCCGCTCCATTGCTGCCGGAATAAACAAAAGATCAACAATATGAGAGGTTACTTGGAAAGATATGGAAACAAATCAATCAGATCTTTGAAGTGATAGCAGAATAGAGAAGAAGAAACACTTCGATCACCGAAGATTAGACATACATAAACCAGAAAATGTTCTAGGCAAATCCGATGAAGCGTTGTGATTTGGCTCTCTTCTCATCGCAAGTCGCAACGCATGACAAACAAGTTATAAATAAAGGCGCCAAACGGTGCCGTCTCTTCGTAACGTTGTTGGGCCTACAATAACTATTGGGCTTTATAGGCCGAGGTTCTTCTTCTTTGTTTTAAATCTTACGTTTTTTTTTTTGGTTACAGTATCAGTTGATGA